AGAGGATGACATGGAGATCCTCCTCTGTGGAGCCCTGTACATGCTGTTGGCAACAGAGCCACCCAAAAGCCCCACATTCTGGCCTGAGATGAAAAGCTATCGTAACTCGCCAGGGCAGGTACGGCTTGCTCTTCTGCTTGTAAGAAATACCTGCAAACCGATTGGAGTTTTTGCATCCCCTGTCGCTCCGTGTGCTTTTCTGACACCTTGTGCCCTAATTTTCCCTCACGATAGCGGAGTCAAGCCCACAGGCACATCTTTTTAGTGTCTACTGTCTACTGAACAAATCAGTGGGCCACCATAGATATGGGAAGCCTCGCCCAGCTTCGCTTTCGAACTATGCCTCTTGTTGAAATATGTGAAAGCTGGAGTATCTGCAGTTCTATTTAGCGGCGAATCCCTTGGGTCACGCTGACTCTGGCACAGAGAGCTCCCGAAAGCGCATGCAAGTGGAGGTCAAAACCCTCAGCGCCACAAAGTCTGGCGCAGCATCAGGCCTTGGAAAACGAGACTCGAGATGAACAAGAAGTCAAAACGAGTCAAGGAACAATAACCTCCTCCAGAGCAGCGAGAAATTGTCTCAAATGCAAATATTGCAAATCTCCAATGCAACTCACGAGGACTGGGCGTGTACACAGTGGAAACGACATAGAGGCAATTCCTGCAAAGAACATATTGTTTTTGTCCAAGATTGCGTCATGCACTGAGTGCAGCAGCTTTGGTTTACACACAAAAGTGTTGCACAAAAAGGTCAAAGCCTTAAAGCAGCCATTGATTCCACAACCTACATACATACTACACCTCAATCCGACCTTATATCTGTGAGCATCTGAGCATGCTCCTCCAAGTTGTCTTTTGAGAAGAAGAGTTTTACATAGTTTGACGCAACAAAAAAGCATGCAAAGCGAAACAGGCCGGCCACACGGCTCCAGCTTTGGCACCTCCACCATGGCGGAATGAACCTGTGCCATGGTTGATCTGAGACGTCCCAAAGCTCAAGCTAGGCCTTGCTGGCAGGCCTTGCTGGCAGGCTTCTCAGCCACGAGCTCCAGTGGCTTGAAAGGATTAGAGACATTTTGCTTGACGCCTCAAGAGAGATTATCTGTTCTTTTCGGAGGATTCGCAAATGAGATCAAATGAGCAAATCAAAAATATATCAATCTAAAAAACCGATAGTCTTGGCCTTAGCTAGGAATGGAGAAGCATTCAAGTTCTTCAAGGAAACTGTGTCAAAAGACTCTTGTCAGTTGATTTTCTTTAAGACAAGAAGTTCTTTTTGTCTTGAATGCATTCTGATTTTCAGAGTTCTTGTTTTGTCTTTATTTGATGTTTAAGACAGTTGGGGTTTTGAAGAATCTCACTCTTGCGCTTCAGCCTGTGGCGTTTTGTGGTGGAGCCACAATTCGACATCGATATACCCGAAGTCCAAGCGGGACAAGAGGCCTAAAACAAAGCAAAACATCACATTCACTCGTCTTCACTTCTTAATACGTTTTACTTGTGTGTGTTTATGCACCGAAGTGATCCAAAGGGGCTATAAAGCGCAAGTGTGGCGCCTCTCTGGCCTCAAGCGTGGGTCCGCTTGGGTGGCGCAGAAAACAGCCTCCAGTGGTCCGATGGTGGTGGCACAATGGTTTCCTTTGTCCGATGGTTTGTTCCGAAGGACACTTGCTGTGCCTGAGAAGGTGATGATACCGAGACCAATGGATAGCTGGGTCGTTCTTCTGAGATGGAAACCTGACATGGTCTGCATATGAATATAGCACAAAAACAGTCTTTGGAGCTTCTTGAGCTTCCTTAGCAGCTTCAATTGAGAAGTTTGTAGCTCCAATTTCACTCTGCGTTCTTTGATCGCTTGTCAACTACTACTTCGCGACAACCTGCTTCAGGAATGTCATCTCAAGTTGGACTTGACCGTCCAGCTGAGGGCTACACCATCGCAGACTGCCAAGAACTTGGAATCAAGCGAGCCTAGCATGCCCGAGGCACTGTCAGCACTGCCTCAAAGTATGAGCACGAGATTTGAGATCTTCCGCCTCTGCCACATCTGTGAAGTGTTGGCAAAAGTCCTGCAAGTCAGAGAAAGAGCCTGAAGCCAAATCGTTCATGTGCCACACATTGACCATGCAACTCATGAGTCCTGGATGCTCATCCAAAAGGAGTTTTCTCGAGGCTTGACACCACAGCGAAGGAGCCTCATTTGCTCTTCATTTCGGCTACGACTACGGCTAAGGTTGCCCTAGCTCCTTCGGTGCCAAACTCAGCTCCCAGCTCCACACTGTCAGGTCCCCATCGACCAATCCATTTGCCCTCCGTTCGATACAAAAATTGAATTGAAACTGAATCTCAGACTGTTTTATTCATGATGTTTCGTTGAATCGGGTATATAACTGATGTCAAGTCAAAGCTGTTGCAAGAAGTGTCCTGCCTGAGGCCATGGATTGTCCAAAGCAACCAAAGCTTCGCCTTGACGGAAATAATTCGGAACACTGGCCTCTGAAATTCATCTTGGGGTTGACAAATTCTCTGAGAAACAAACCGTTGATGACATCAAGACTCGTGATTGGATAGGCGCACCCTCCTAAAAGGCCAGTTGTGAGCACCTGCGTGTGGCACTCGTGAAATTTATGTACGGCACTCTTCAAGACTCAAGTTGGGAGCAGCTCATTCGGATGCCCGCAGTCTTGTATGTGCAGAAGCTATTCGTAGCAAGGGCATCGGTGCATTTTTGGAATCATGTCCTTTGGCAGCAAATGTCTGCCGCGATTCCCGTGTGCTTGCGTTCATTGCGCAGGCCTGTGCTATGTACAGGAGCAGTTACACCTTCGGCGTGCTCAGACATATGTATAATATATACATGGAACTGAAATGCAAGTGTCTCGGCCTTTGCATCATACACATTCCTTGGCCTGTCTCTCTCTCTTTGGATCTGTGAGACTCCATCTATCAACGTTGTTTGTTCTGTGCCTTAGCGGATGTGACACTGGGTTGGCAGCCACAGCAGGTCAAGTCTGACGGCCTCCTGATGGGTCTTCACCAGGTTCTCCAGCCCATCCTCAGTGCTCAAAATTATGCAAACAAAGGAGGATAAAGTGCCCTTCAAGTCCGCGACCGGTGAAGTTTGGTACTAAGTACTAAGTACACCAAACATGTTTATTTAAGACAATCAAATACCAATGGCATGAATACGCACATCGACCTAGTCCACTCACATGCGGATTAAACATATCGTTGTCTGAACAGAGCGGTGTTGGCTTCAGAGTGCTGTAAGCTCTGAGATGGTAGCATCGATTTCATGGCAGCAAAGGAGGTAATAGACAAAAAACAACAAGAAGGTGCAACTGTGTTGAACTTTGCATGAAACGGACAGACACATTTTGCAACAAACTGGAAAACAAAACTGGTCGCCCAAGCTTCCAGGTCAGAAGACACACCCACTCGCTGAACCAAATTCAAAAAGACCTGGCTGGCACTTGAATGAATTGTTTGAACTGTGCTATGTTTTGTTTGAGGTAATTAACAAGTTCTTCCGTACCACATGCAGGAGCATTCAGCTGATGAACCTCCTGAGTCATATCTGCAGAGGTGTCATCTGCAACGGCCATGAAGAGTGATGCGCAGTCTGCCTGGCTCTGCTATTTGAGAGAGGTCATTCCAAACATAGAATGGATTTGCTTGGATAGTTTCTCATAAACGTTTCTGTGCATGAAACGTGTTCTAAAGAAATTCCCGGAACCAACTGCCTACAGAAGAACAAAATCATGTTCTGCTCTGTTCCTTTTTGCGTGGGCAACCTCCGGCACTGCTGGCGCAATATGAGCCATGAAGTTGACAAACTCATCATACCTCAGAATGACAGCTTGTGGAAACAAAATCAAACAAGGGTGCGACGGTCGGGATTGAGAAAGCACCTACAAAAGTATCCGGTTCATTCTTGGCTCTGAACTGAAGGCAGTCGTCCCCAGATTCGTCAAAAATGCCAAAGAACTTACCTCCAAGATCCAAAAGGGCACTGCATAGTGGCTAGATTTTTCCAACCACGTCACGGCACTTCAATGTACCAGCTTTAGGCTTCCGCAGTTTGGCCAACATCCATTTTGTGTCACACAAGTTGCTGTATGTTATGGGCAATTCAACAGTTCGTTTGTGCGTCCATCGAGCAACTGCACGCCCTCTTTTGATCCTCAATGATGGGTTTTATTGGTATGTCCTGATTGCTCACACGAAAACTGAAATTGTTTCTTTACATGTTTCCTGGCTTTTATGACCTCAACTTTATGGTCACAAACCTCATGAATCGGGCCTCCCCTCCCTGTACAGGATCGTGTAGCTCGTCCACTTTTCTTTCAAGTAATATATGTTGTTTGGTCACACTGATACACGCTTTTTTCGGAATCCCAGGCAGGCATCGACCTCGTCCCTCTTCTTGGACCTGCCCAGCCCAGGCGCAATCTCTCCTGACCCTCGGACCTTCTCAATCGCCCCCTTCAAATTCAGTCATTCCCACTTCCACCTCAACCCGTCCAGTCAAGTCTGCTTGTAGTCCGAGGCTTCAGGTTGGTCTACCTTTGCGCCGCCCTATCCCTCACGACCTTCGGTGCCAGTTTGAAGCCCTACCAGAAACGGACATCAGAAGTCAGCCGGGCATGCATCCTCACCAAACCTCCAACGAGTCTACCTTCCACCTCATGTCAGCCTGCAGGATGACGCCACCGTCTTCCAGCAGTTTGGCGAACTTCAAGTTCCCATTTCTCTCCATCGTCATTCCCTTTTCTCATTGCAGTGCACAGGCATGTCAAGTGACCGAGCGCTCCTCGCACCGGATCCTATATTCTGGAAATTTGAAGAACGACGGACACGGTGTTGGGAGTTCCTCTTCACTCAGACACTTGCGCGGGTTTCTGTGGCCTCCAGCATGGGCCACCGTGTCCTCATGAACAAGACGTTGTCCTCCAAGACATGTACGTCCTACAAATCGCTCAAATGTTTCTTCCCACCATTCAGAATCCTTCCCTCCTTTTCAGCGGCGCTGGACCAGGACCATTCAACTCATTCAACCTCATCCAGGAAGTCGATCTGCGCGGAGGTCCAGCGAGGAAAACGTCCGCACACCCACTTTGCCAGTTCCACGGCAAAGTTGAAGACGCCTCCCCTCGCAGGCCCCCAGTCATTTTGATAGTGGCGCGATCGTTTGCGGACTCTGTCAGCAGGGCGCCATATCCGTCCAACTGGCGCAGCGTCACCGAACCTGTAGCCAAATCCACTTGCGCACCCTTGCCCCTCAGAAATTGTTCATCGCTCCTTGTGGTTCGCAACATGTGAGTAGCGTAGCGACCCCATCTAACAATGCAGAACCACTCCTCTCCCGCAACGACTGGATTTGAATCATTTTACACTGGGCCGAAAGCGCTTCAAGATGCAAAGCCTGCACCTTTTGCAGAAGAGCGTCTGGCGGCTGGATCCCCAGCCCCATGGTCCAGTCCTGGCCAACCATCTTTTCCAACTTTGCACACGACCCAAAGTTCAGGCAAGTGCTTCTTGTAGGCGGCATGCTCTCGACCAGCGATCTCAACAGGCTGAGGCTGAGCCCTCCCGGCTGATAGGTGAAAAGCACTCTAAACAGCTCTCGCTCTCACCAGAACCCTGTCTAAGGGGTTCTGCGCTGGCAAATCTGAGCAGCATAGTGGAGTCGCTGCTCCAGCCTCAAACCATGAGTTCCTCCACAACCTCCGCCTTCACCATCAGCCTCTAGCCTCTGGATTGGGTCTCCCCAACGAAGTTAAGCTGACTCGCGTCAGTTGTGATCTTCACAATCCTTGACCATCACGTAGCCGACGAGGACGCGCAAAAGACCCAATGATGGCCACCACTCCTACCACCAGCGGCCCAACCTCATTTTTGTCAACTCTTCTCAAAATTTCCAGTTGGAGAAGCAAGCAGGTGGTTCAGGTCTTTTCCTGCCCCACTCGCTCCACCTTCTCAATTGGATCAGCCTCTCCACACGAGGCGCCCCTACTCCACCTCGCGCTTTTACGAAATCCAACTCCCGCGTCGTAGCTCCACCGCTGGCTTCAAACATCAGTAGAGCTCGTTGCTCCAGGGTCCTCACCATGGCAGGGGCATTCCCTTGGTAGGGTCGTAAGCTGCCTCACTTTGAGCTTTCTCCGACCAAAAAGGGTTGACATGTTCAGGTGCCCCTGGTCCCAGCAGTCCATGCGCGTGCTTGGCTTCATTCTTTTGGTCCTCAATGATGGGCTTCAGTAGGCGCTCGTGCAGCTGTTTCTTCACAATGCTTCTCTTTATGACCTCATCTTTATGATCAAAAGCTCATGAACTGGGATATTGGTGACATCCCTGGAACCTCACAAGCTCAACAGTTCCATAAGCGAGGTACAGTAGTATTTACGGTAATAGCATATTAGTAGTTATATTCGTGTATAGTTACGCAGTTCATGTCCCCCTTTCGGTGCTTTTTCGATCAGCCACTCCCAGTGTTTTGGGGAGGTTGGGCGCTTGGGCAGCGGCATTGTTCAAAGCCTTTTGACATCTGACTCCTTCAATCTCGCTCAATCTTGTTCAAGTTTCAGGCGATGTCATCGTCGTCATGGTGGATGTGTTCATTGAGGTACCAAGGTTTGGGGCATACTTCTTTGGTCCATTCCCACAAGAAAGCTCAACTATGTCCAGTTCATCTCAAGCCGCATGGGGCAGGAATGGTTGCTCAACCAACACTGCACCTGCAATTTGCATGGGTATGTACGCAAATTTGCTGAAAAGACATGAATCTTGAGAGAACAAACGCCTTTGCAGATCGAACATTGCTGCAGCCACATGGCATCTAGCTTCTGAACTTGAAACATAAGCTAAATCTTAGCATGTTCAGCACCAGCAGGACGCAATCCCCAAGCAGCGCATGATTGATTTAAATTTAGCACACGTGAGCTTTTTCATTAGGCACAATATTGACATATGTTATATACTAGATACATATAGTTATATATATATATATACACACTGTATATAGTTGAAAAGTTAATAGCCATCGCAAAGATGGAGAAGTGACAAAGAAGAAAAATCCTGAGGACGGCACCCATAAGATGCACCTCATACGCCCGCTCTAGGCCCATGGCCCAAAGCGCCGCCCAAAGGGCCTTAACGCCCTAATATGATCAGAGAGAACACCAAGAAGTCCCAGCACATGACAAAGTCTTCAGTCTCTTGTGGATTGTCTTTGCTCAGGCTCTGGCATGACTCTCCATAAAACACATGCTGGCGGCACCACCTGAGCTCTGGTTTCTCCCGTTCGGGCTGCATCGAGACCTGCATGAAGAGAAAGAAAGCGAAAGTGAGAGAGAGAGAGAGAGAAAAAAAAACAAAGATGGATAGCGTCTGCTCTTCTGTCGATTGCCGCACCCATTTAGGCAGCAGCCGTGTTGTTGCCAAAGGTACATCAAGTTCCTGACCGCCTCTTTGGTGAGCTGCACCTCAACATGCAACCCCTTTTGGAGGACACCTAGACATCCTTCCAAAAATGTTTAAGCTCTAAAGTAGCTAAGCTATGCTATCATAAAGATTTAAAGGAACTCTGATCCTCGCCTTGCCCTGGTGAGTGTCCTCGGTGTCCTTATAGGAAATGTCTAGAAAAGCTCTATCGAGTCTATCGAAGCACTATACCATGCCAAAACTATCACCACACAAGCTTGTATAAAATCTTGTGCCGTGATTTCTCATTCCACACCGCCCTTTTCTACAGGATTTTGTCCTTGAACTTGAACGCTCCAACTAGCCCATCCCTTCAGACCGGGCAGAAGGCATTCCTCTGGTTGGACGTGGAAAGCGGCAAAAACGAAGGAACATGCAGTGCATCTGGCAATCTTCGGACATGAAGTCACCAAACGGGAGCAATTGTACATAGACTACGTAGCTGACAATGCTTCGCATTGACAATGCTTCGCATGACTCATGGTGCCACATAAGCTTGAAGCACTAGGGTACTCAAGCAGTTGGACTCCAGCTATCTCTTTGAATTCAGAATCAGAAGCATTTCAGCTCCTGTCTTTCTGAAAGTAGTGGAGCACATCCTTGTAGAACTGGATCGCCTCATCGGACGATTTGGACCAAGTGAAATTTGCTTTGGCATTTTTTCGAGCTTCAACTTTCATCTTCTCCAAGGAATTGCCTTGCCCGCTGATCACCTCTTGGATTGCCCTCTTTGCATCTTGCATATCCAGCGGATCGTACAAACGACCGTTCACCCCATCTGTGACCACCAAAGGAACTGCAACTGCCCTAGGGCCGACGACTGCAATGCCGGCCGCTTGCGACTCAATGAAGACCAGATCCAAGGTGCCGGTCACGGTGGGTGAAAAGAAGATATCCGCTGATGCAACAGTCGATGCCAATTTCTCCCCAGTCACTGCACCAGGCATGTAAACGTCTGGCCTGTGGCCAATCTCTTGGTGTATCGACTCCCATGAGTCGCCATGTCCGATGATTGCAAAGCGACACAATTCTGGTTCACCTGGAGGGTTGGTGACCTTCACAAGATCAATCAATTTGTCCACTTGCTTCTCTGGCGAGAGGCGCCCAACAAAGACCACAAGAGGAACCTCAGGTCTACCATTGCTACAAGTTGCACGTGTTTCTGAGCTTGCCTTGGATGGATGGAAAAATTCCAAGTCGCAACCTGTGGACCAGAAACGAGTGTTGGGATGTCCTTGAAACCAGGATTGATCCTTTTGTGAACCATCGATGAGCAAATGGCCTGTCACAAGAGGAAACATCACTTCGCAAGCAGCTCGGACGACTTGAGGAGAGTAGTCACCAATGAACCCTGGCACATATGTGGCATAAAGGTCAATGCGCGAGTGATGAGAGATCACTGTAGGGATTCCAAGCCACCAAAGGAAAGGGACAAGAAAAATTGCACACGGAGTGAAATCAAAGAACTGAATGATGTGCGGTCTGAAACGGATCAGCGCAATCAGGAAGTGAGGAGATGGAAGCGTGATTTTGTGCTTCGGCTGAACTTCTACTCCTGGACCACGTGTTACCGTGGCGCCATAGTTTTCGGGGGCCAGATGAGTAGTTGGGCTTCCATTGCTGCAAAACACATGAACCTTGTGGCCGTCACGGACAAGAGCCTGGATGGTGTTCCTAGCAAAGTTCTGCACACCATCCAACTTTGGAGGAAATGAATCACCCGAAAGCAAGACACGCATTTGCTCTCCTGCTTTTGGGCAACCTGCCCAGCAAAACTTCAGAAGCATGGCTCTGAAGCCTTTGAGCATCACAACGAAAGCACTTGCATAGAGCACAGCGCTTGGCCATCGAAACTGCAAAACGCAGGATAAGGTCAAAATTGGTGTCATGGTGCACTTCCACTGTGCACAGAGCAAGCTCTGGCTCTTGCCTTTCTTCTCAAGACGTCGCTCTTCAATGGTCACTGCCACCAAGCAAAGGACTGCCACACTCAGGGCCATCGCCAAATCAATGAGAGGGACCCCCAACCTTGTGTTCACGTAGTAGACTACCAACATGCCAGATCCATACACTGTCCCAAGAGCCGCCAAAACGACCAAAGGAGGAGCGTAAAGCTGGCTGCTCTTCATGAAGCAAATCAAGGCCATCCCAATCCAAAGCAGTGGGTAGCATGCTGCTGCACAAACACCAAAAACGCTCAAGATTGCCATGTACTTCAAGGAAGTCCACGTGTCGTACGGGCGTGTTGCTGTCAGCATTTGAAGCCGAAGCCTTTCTTCCATTTGCTTGAGCTCGGCCTGCCACATCTTCTGCGACCACGCCAGCGCTCTAGTCTTTCTGAGCTTCGAACCAAATTGCCCTGAAAAGCAAAGTGAACAATCCGACAATGCTTTAGGTGCGTGTATCCCGTAGAACTTCCAGGCCCGTAATGTCAATATGTTTCAAGAAGTCATGAGACTGTCCGAATCTCAGTCTCTCTTGCTTCAAATTCTGCGAAGCGGCATCTTGTGGCTGCATTGCTAATAGCGCCTTTTCCACAAGAGATTCGGGGACCTCATTGCAAAGCAGATTGAAGCATGAAGCGAGTTTGACTGCATGATACAAATTAATCAGCGAAGGGACCTGCAGTCGAAAGCGCTCTTTTGTGACCTGGTTCACAGCAGAAGGGAATTCTCTATGCTCAGACTCGTTGTCACGCTTTGCTTCTTTGTGACTTTGTGTTCCTCCCTTGAGCATGCCTGAGCAGCCATCACTGCATCAGCTGTTTGATCTCAGCAAGCGCAAAGCCCGGCGAGCTGTGCTAAACATGCATGACTTATGACATCGACACAATATC